AGTCAAGTCCTACGAAAGGCTACAAAGCTATAACATTAAAACTTAGTAGTGAAGATCAAACCTGCTTGAATTCTTGTTACTTTACCGAAAATGAAGCTTAAAGTATATAAAAAGAGTATTTTTGAACAACTAGTTATAGTAACAATGTAACAATTAAATAAATAATAAATATTAGTGTTACTAGGATTCGAATACTAGGGTGTTATTATTTATTTTTATCAAGCTATCACGACTTTGCTAAATTTATCCTGTTACACTCTGGTCGGAATTAAAAGTATTTGAAAGTTATCTTTTGTTCTGAAATGATTTATAATTTAAAATTAAAATTTTGAACTCCTTGTAACATGTTTTTTTTTGTTTCCGCGAGTATTAAACTATTTCAAAATAGATACACTTCGTCCCGTAAATAAGTATCTAGTAATCTATTGCCCTTAGTCTGTATAGTTATTACAGTTTTGAGGGTCATGTTTATAAATAAATCCTGACAAGTATCTGATTCAGTTTGCTTTATTTGCTATTCCAAGTGCATAGACAGTTGTCGAAGACTGAATGTTATCGTCTAAAGTTTTGTTATTAAACTTCTCCAGATGATCCCATTATTTTTAGAGAAGAACTCATTGGCCTGCTGGCTCAAAATAACTTTGCAATTGCCTCTGTAACATATTCACCTTTTAATATTCATGTACATTTAAAAGGTAAATACTTCTGATATAAATCCTAGATCCTAATGCAGAATTTCACCAATTTTACAATCCGTCTTAGTTGGTACAACACAACCAGGACCAAATTGGGAAGATCCATATTTGTTATCACACTGCAAATATGTAAAGTAAGGTTCATCACTCAATGTAATTCACTGTTCGTAGGATAATGTACAGTTTGTGTATTGCAGCTTTTCTAAAATAACAACATTCATACAGAGGGCACTGCTCAGATCTACGCCATGCTAGCAGTTGTCTGTAACTGAAATGAATTCATTAAAATGACTGCGTAGTTTTTGGATAAACTATTTATGGCACTTCTACACATTCCAATAAGTGAATTTTTATCACCTTACTACCGCAACTTGAGCTAGCCTGAACGTTGGTCGAATGTTATATTGTTAGCCTACCGATATATTTTGATGCGCAGTAAACTGTGAATGAAAAAGCCTTCTGGCTATTCCATGTTTCCACATGTCCAGCAATTTATAATTTATCTTCTCTCAAGTTCACTTAATTCGTGATATTTTGTATCTCTCAAAATCTCAATACTACTTATCTGATTTGCCTCTGTTTATAGTAAGATTTCTTAAAATAATGCTGGATGAGACATCTATGTTCAAACTCCTTTGAGAGGATAGTACAGAAACTTTTGTTTTTCTGATTACCTATTTTTTTGTTTGGTACATTTTGAAAGGGGGAAAAATTGACCGCAAATGAAGGAACAATATGAGTAGCAGGAACATTTTCAAGATTTACCTTTGTAATTTAGCATACATAATTTTTATAGAAATAACCACTGCCTCTGGATTTAAGCGTCTTCTCTTTTTTGTTTTTGTTTAAAAATTGCGTAATTATTCCAGATTTTTATATGCATTTTCCTATTATATCTCACACAAACTTAACAGTGGCACAGCCGTAAGTCTGCGGACTTGAAACCGGGTTTCAATACTCGTGGTGAGAACAGCATTGATTGGCCATTGTGGTTAACTACAAAATACAACACACAAACGTAAAGTGACAGGTTAACACTCAGACCGCAGCTTTCATAATCTTATTATATTTTTTCAGACCACTAATATCGATTTGTAAGTAAAAAGAGAAAAAAAAAAAAGATGCAAGAAACAGTTTTATTTCTTCTATGGTTGTATTTACTAAAACATTTATTTTTATTGTACTACTGATATCTTACGAATAACATAATTCAACACAATATTTTTATATAATAATACTCCACATACTCATTTTAATATGCTTTGTCTAATTTTGTGATTTAATGACTATTTATGTATTAAGAAAAGCATTCGTTTTAACATAACAATTTCACAAAAAGCTACATTATATAGACATTTAGTTTACGGTAGTAACAATAATAACTACGCAAAGACATATTTTTATCTAGATTTTATTACGGAATGTCAATCAAGAAATACTAGTAATTACATCACTATTACAGTACGTTAGACAAACATAAGAAACCATAAAACCCGAGTGTTTTCGAAAAGAGATCTTTCTTCATCAAGGGCAAACTGGACACCCTTTGTGACTCAGCGATAAGTGTGAGGGCTTATAATACACAAAATAGGGTTTCGATACTCACGTTGGGCACAGCATATATATGTGTATATAGGAGCTTTGCGCTTAATAATATACAAGCAAACGAGATACTGGTAATGACTAAGTTAAATGTGAAAAAAAGTGCAGTGACGTCACGGTTACGTAACGTAGACTACCACGACAACCTGGAAGTTTTTGATTAGCTTTCAAAGGAATGTTGACTACAACATAAATACAAAATAATCATTAAGTAATGTTAGGGACAAAAATAAAGAACTTGCACTACACAAGAAAAAAGAAAAACAAATGGCTGTTTCTTCCCTTTATGCGCAAGTTGAGTAGGTGGAATACATTAGTAACTTACCGTGACTGCCCACATTTTTTTAGGCGGGGGGGGGGTTAATTTTGTTTTTAATATTTATAATAGGTTTTCGCGTAACACAGGTCTGGAACCACTGATATATTGTGTAGCTTTGTGCTTAAATACAAACAAACAAATATCATTATGCAGTCAATCCCTTAGCAAGGATGATGGGTGGTAAGGTACTGCTAACTAGCCCCCTTCCCTCTGGTCAGTAGTTCCAAAATACAAATACTTCTCTTTACACAAATATTCAATAAGATTAATAACTTTAACTTTTAATAAAAACAAAACTGCCCCATCCCTTTCTAATCCACTCGAATCTGAAAAAAAAACAACAACAACAAAAAACCTGCCTTGTCAGCCTTGTCTTATTTTTAACTAATTTTAATCCAACAACGAACATTACCTTCAAATTAACGGTACTACAATGGGTAATATGATGGTTCCTAACTATGCCAACATATTTATGGACCATGTTGAAAGCAGGCTCTATAGCAAAGCCCTGAGAAACTTAACGTTAAATTGATGTCATATTTTTATTTTGGACAGCCGGTTCTGAATCATTAAATACTTATTTTCTAATGCTAACAATTTTCACCTTTGATTGTTCTCTTACACAAATAAACTTTCTGTACGTCACCCTCTCTTTAAATAACGGCTTTTTACACACTGACTTGTGTAGACAACCTACTGACAGATCACAGTATATTCACTACAAAAGTTGCAGTCCCACCCACACTAAACGGAATAGGTCCGAATCAAGAAAACCTGTACTGATGAAACAAATTACGTAAAACTCACCGACATTCTAAATAAACAATGTTACAAAAAAAAGGTTATAAGGATCCCGAAATTCCCGTTCTCCTTCCGAAAGAAGAGAAATCTTAAAATATATCATTGTTCATGCAAAAGTGAATTGCAGTCCACTATAGAATACATGTAAGAAAGCTCGTAATCTAACTTTCAAGTTCATAAAAATACCGACTCTTTTCCCAATACATATGACTGAAAAAACTTTAAAATATTATATAACGTGTCTTGAAAAACATCATTTATCTCCAAACCCAAATGACTCTCAGAGGACAATTCAACAAATAAGTCTTTTATTAACACCGAAAAAGACCTCCCTGTTGCCCAACACAGTAACGTTAATCACTCAATGTAATTCACTGTTCATAGGATAATATAGTTTGCGTTCGTTTGTTTGTAATTAAACACAATGCTGCACAATGGGCTATTTGTGCTCTGCTCACTACGGGTATCGAAACCAGGTTTCTAGCGTTGTAAGTCTACAGACATACCGCTGCGCCCCAACACTTGAACCAACGGGGTCATTATATCAAAGAAGTGACTCTCATAATCATTGAAACCAGTTTCAAATCTAAAGCGGCCCGGTATAGCCAGGTGGTTAGGGCGCTCGACTAGCAATCTACGGGTCGCGGGTTTGAATCCCCGTCACACCAAACGTGCTCGCCCTATCAGCAGTGGGGGCGTTATAAAGTGACGGTCAATCCCAATATTCGTTGGTAAAAGAGTAGCCCAAGAGTTAGCGGTGGGTGGTGACGACTAGCTGCCTTTCCTCTAGTTTTACACTGCTAAATTAGGGACAGCTAACGCAGATAGCCTTCGTGTAGCTTTGCGCGAAATTCAAAACAAACAATCAAAGCTAAAACTGATTGAGAAACTAAAGGATTGCTACTTTAAACACCGTTTATCCTTATGGAATAAAACTTAGATCCTGGAATTAGTAAATTTCACCCATTAACTAGTTCCCTGTCTAACAGATGTATTTTTTCTTTCTCATGTGTGATGCAAGTTCTTTATTTTTGCCCCTAATTTTTCCCTACTACTTATTATGTAATCATAAAATAACGCAATATCGTGCTTAGAAGTCAGAAGAGAAAATAGTTCTACTAGTATTGACTTCTGACAGTTTTTTTATTTTAACTTAATATTTTTTTTATGATAAATTTCCATTTTTGTTTCTCACCTTTTTAATTCTTTCGACCTAACATTTACTTGCTAATCGACTTTTATATCCTGTTTTATTTTACTTTATCAATACCAAATATAGATTCTCTTCTACATTATTCTTTTAAAAACAAAACGTTTCTAGTCTCTTTATATCTAACATTTTCGTGTCCTGTCATATTGCCCAAAGAAATTAGTCAAACTCGCAACACTGGTTGAAAAGCTAATCAAAACACTTCCTGTCATGGTAGGTAGTCTACTTTCCGTAACCATGACGCCACTTCACATTTTCTTGCGTCTTACTTAACATAGTAATTCGTCCCTGAAGAAGAAAGGCCAACCTTTCGAAAGCGCAATGGTTATGCAGTTTCATATTTTTATTTTTAATTGATTTTTTATACCTACGTGCTTCCCTATCATCAAGAATCGTAAGTTAGAGATGATTCAAAAACCATAATGTATTAAGAAACCAAATTTTCAGTACTAATTTCAAGTTTTCTAGTCTTCAAAACTGGAAACATTCCTCTTCCCATTACCGTCCACGTGAAGAACTTTATTCAGAAATCGGTTCCTTTTGAGGTGTGGTATCTTCACCTTCCAACCAGTACGTTCGCATAAACCCTTTACCCTGTAAATGTTTCATATGCATTATATTACACACATGTATTTATTATCACCGAATATTAATGGAATGTGATAGAGACAAAGTTTTACAGAGTGGTTGAAGACTATTTTGCCAGAAGTTAGTTCAATCTGTCAAGAAATATGTTTGATTACCTATGAGAGGCTATTTGATACACACTATTTTTCAGTAGCATGGCATGGTTTTGTAAATAGTTGCACAAGTTTTTAATGTGTTGTATAATAGTGATTAAATTTTGCTTAGACACTGATTTAGAGAATAGTTAAGTAGGTATTTTATTTTCGTGGAAACAAGTTATATAACCGGTGTTCGGGACTGTGGAATTTGGAGGACAAGAATAAATTAATTTTCGGTCCGTGTGAAGCTCTAAATAGAACTAACGAACCTGTGGGCCTGTGGCCCAAATTTACAGGGCCGCTATAATGCAAATTTAATTTTCCAAGCTACAAACGTTAATTAGTAGGCTTACTTATTTACTGTTTTAACCCATTAACTGCTGATTCGCCTTATTAGGTACGGTCCGCCTCCGGCAGTTGAATGCGAGTGACCTGTATACAGCGTACGGCTCGCAAACAACGCGTTTAAAGGAGGTGCAGTCAAAGTGTTAATGTAAATCCAAGCAAAAATTTTGGGGTTCACTTTCGGGAAATTCATGTAAAACTGTTTTCGCGAAATACCCAGGTTTGTGCCAATCTCGGGACCGAGACGATTCGTTTGGTACCATTAAGAAGTCGGTGCGATTAGCGGTTTAGGAGAAGTTACGTGACACACACACAAACAGAATCTTATTATATAGATATACAATAATCCATGAAAGCTTATGCAAATGTATATCATATGAAATGAAAAATTTTATGATACAGTATCTATCTATCTTAAAACGCCACCTAGTGGTGCTGAATTGATACGATTCATTAATGATTCCTCTCCTCCATCAGTGACGTAGCCACCATTTGTGCAATTAGTTATCTTTGTGGTAGGAAGAAATCTAGAGATTCTACAATTAAAAATTTATTGATACATTTTTCTAGAAAAGTAGTTTAAGCAGCTTATTTTAATTGAAGTGATGGTAATGTTAGAAAAACAAATATAATAATACTTGCGATTGGTGTCCATTTCATTGGTGTCAGAATAATTATTAGATTAAAATGATTGTCATCTTATTTCTGCCAAATAATATGCACATTAAAAAGGAAATATCGTCGAGATAAGGTATACTAAAGGTTACATAATGTCTCTACAGTAAACAAGTACACAAGAAGAAATATACTCTAACAAACAATTACATATTACTACTTACTTTGAGTTCAATGTCTCCTCGAGCCGACAGACGAAATTTTCCAAAAATGTCGAGAATGGTTTTGGTTTCATGGCTCACATGAATCTTCAGAGCTAGAAATAAATATAAGTTGCCTGATTACACTCAGTTGGGTATATAATTCTTGTGTGTATATACATATATTTATATCTGTTATAAAACTATTTCTGATGTACCTTTTTCCCAACTGTCACTAATAAGATAGATAAAATACTTCAAAGTTTCCTAAGACATGCCTATTTAAGAAAAGTAAAGTTTAGAAATATACGGAGCAAAAAGGCTTCAGGAATTTTGCTTTTAAACCCCCTACAAAACAGAATTTGTTTTTTTCCGAATATGAAGCAATTAATCTATCTCAGCAGCTTTTCCTAACTTAATGTTCCTCGCAGCTTCATTTACTCCAACTTCTCAACTAGTAATTCTCTAGTTATTGTGTCAAACGCAGCTTTCAAGTCTACATAAAATACATATAACCTCCCTTTATTCAATTCAAACAGTTTTAAATTATACATACACACACACATATATATTATCAATTGATATCCTCCCTTTTTCTAAATCCCATTATACATACATGCATATATATTAACAATTGATATCCTCCCTTTTCTAAATACCATTATACATACATACATATATATTATCAATTGATATCCTCCCTTTTTCTAAATACCATTATACATACATACATATATATTATCAATTGATATCCTCCCTTTTCTAAATCCCATCTGACCTACAGATGAAACTTAATTCTCTCCAGCCCCTTCTCAGCTTTTCTTCGAACATTATTGTAAACAATGTGTAAGCTGTTGATGACAAAAATCCTCCTCTGTAATTCTACTTCATCTTGATCCCCAGATTCACCGTTTCTATTTTTCCATTCTTCAGTGCATATTCTTGTCCTTTCTTCCAACATAGTTGCACCTAACTTATAAGCATTTGATAACGAAGCTACTCGTCTATAATTATTACTTTTTCAATCTGAAGGAAATCCCTTTGATTCTTCTAAAAATAATCTTGAGCAGATATCCCTCCCTCATTTTGGATTTCATCTATTCCACCAGGCTTTTCTCTCATAAGTTTCTTCATAGAGTCCTTAACCTCTTCTAATGTAAATCCTTTCATTCGTATTTCCTCATTTGTTTCTCCACATTTTGGAGAACCCCTTTTGTCTTCTCTTTTTTTTACTTCCTTTTTATATATTTTTCTATTCAATTTTCTCATAACGTACTCTTCTATCTCATTATCTTCAATCATATCCTTTCTATTTTCATTTATTTGTGTCTACAAATCTTGTTCCGTTCTTACCTGCTCAATTCTGCTGTTTCTAACTACTTTCGGTTTTCTTTCTTAGTCTCTCAAAAATGTTTTATTCATATTTTTCTTGTTTATGACATTTCAATATTTCTTCTTTCTCTTTTTTAATATTATTTCTTACTTTCCTCGACCGATTACGTAACTTCTTTCTCTTTTTTAATATTCTTTCTTGCTTTCCTCGGCCGAATACGTAGCTTTTCTCTTTTAATATTCTTTCTAGCTTTCCTCGGCCGAATACGTAACTTCTTTCTCTTTTTTAATATTCTTTCTAGCTTTCCTCGGCCGAATACGTAACTTCTTTCTCTTTTTTTTTGTATTGGCCATCCCACCAAGTTGATATTTTTGTTTCTTTCTTATCCCACATTAAGTTTCTAAATTTCTATTTCATAATTAGTCGCCTCACAAGTTCATTTACCCCCTTTTTCTCCTATTTTCTTGTATGATATTTTCTTCACTTTCACTATCCTCTGTTTGTATCTTTTGATATCATATTTTTCTCGCCTATAAATATTTTTGTCATGTCTTTTTACTGTGTTTTTATTATATTACACTTCTCTCTTTTTTTCATTGCCACTACTGTCGGATGATGGTCGGATTCAACTTTCTTCTGTACCTCAAAATATGCTACTTATTTATTCTCTTCTAGATTCAAAATTGAATAATCAACGACTGAATTTCCCCTACTTGCTAATTTCATCAGTATTTTATCTTCAACTCCATTATTATTACCATAAGGATCTCTTCCCAATTTTAAAAGTTTAACTTCATCTTTTAATATTTTATTTTTCTCTTTTCTTTATACTTTCCTAAACACCATTCTTCCTGCCAAGTGTCTTCTTCCCATTTTCTTGCCTTAAAGTATTCTAATATTATCTATGGCTTTCCTTCCTGTTCTACGCATGGTTGTTCCTTTATTATCTTAATAGCTCCCCTGTAGCTATGTTATTAACAAATACCATTATGTTACACATTTCTTCATTCTTCTGCAACAATCTATAAACTACAAAGTTGGCTTTATGTTGTTATTGACTCACCACTGGCAAAGCTACAGCTTTTCCAATTCCTATTGTTATTCTTCTTACTGCTTTCTTTTCTTATGACGCTTTGCACTTTTACATGATTAATTGAATATAACTGATAACTTTATCTTATTCCAATCTTTATTACTTCTAATATTTCTATGAAACCCACAATATCAAATTGCTCTAAATACTTCCACAATTCCGTCTTTATTTTCATTCCTGCTACATTCCATCTGACACATTAGTATTATCCCGTTTTTCCACTTTCCTCTTTTTTCACCCTTTCCACTGCTTATTTGTAATTAAGCAAAAAGCTACACAATGGGCTATCTGTGCTCTGCCCACCACGGGTATCGAAACTCGGTTTGTAGTGTTGCAAGTCCGCAGACATACCGCTGTGCCACTGGGGGGGGGGGCCCTTTCCACTGTCTTATCGATTTTCTCATTCTCCAGCTTTTTCTCCCACTTTTGTTTAAAACTTTTGTGTTTCTTCTTCACTGTTTTCTTTTAGACTTTCATTATTTATATTCAAGATCTTCTATTTTATTTTCATTCTAACCTTCTGCAAAATCTACCTTTACATCTTTTTCATTATCCTCTGAATTTTTGTTTTTTCTCAATTCTGACTCGAGACCGATTTTTTAGAAACGTATAGTCTTCATCAATACAAATATTTATCTCTTTTCTCTTCCTTTATTATGTTGTTTTATTACCACACATTAGATTTACTGAGTTCTCTTAGACACCCACTCCTTGGTTAGTCTTCTGCTAAGTAAATATCCAGTTGCCATTTGAGAATTTTGAAAATGTTTCCCAAACTTATGTTTTTGCCGCTCTTTCACACTGACAGCGTATAACATATCAGTTGAATCAGGCTTAGGCGCGATAGTTGAAATTTGATAGGTGTAGAAATCCACTTCTAATGCATTTAAGGCTGTTTCTCTTAACTACTTTGACTAATTTATTCAATGAGTTGCTCAAATTATCAGGCGCAAGCTAGTTTGTTTATTTGTTTACCCGAATCATAGCCTATGCAAAAAAGGGGCTAAACGGTAGGTCACAAAAACCTATTAAAATGTAAGCATAGCCGCCCCTAATTTTGATCAGAGGAGCAACCAGTCAGCACCATCCGCCGTCTGAAGCAGCTATTCGTAACCGAATAGCGGAATTGGTTGTCACTCTTATAAACACACCCACAGTTGAGAAGGGGAAGCGTGTTTGGTAATACTACGTCTTGAACCACAGATCTTCGGATTCCTAGACAAATATTTTAAGCACTAGACCACACGCGACCCAGGTACAAGTAATCATACCAATCAAGCTCATGACAAGCTCTACCTTGACAATAACCTAAAGATTCTGGAACTAACAAGGAATTACTAAGAAGATAAAATTAAATATCTGAGCTATACCGTGTAATTAGAAACAATATAACTATATATTTTTACCTTTAGTTTAAAACAAAGAAGAAAATGAAAGTGGTCTTTTAACCTATGCCCAACACTGTGTGCACACAAATCTAATTTAAAATGCATAATGTTATTTACTATTCCATTTTTTTTGTGGTAATATGTTTTAGTGTGATCCCACATTCATGGTAGTTTTACAACAAACTAAAAGGTTTATTGCGTTACGATTACTAATGTTAAGAAAAAAACTTAGTCCGGGGAACGTAATAAAAAGAGTTATTGCTGTTCAACATAAAATGCTATTTTCTCATTACTTTATAATCTTTGCTATTTGTTTTTTACCATAAGTCACAGGTATTGCATCATAGGGGCGTTTAATTATTTCTGATTATATTCTACAGATATTTCATCTTTAATCAGTATAATACCCCCCAGTGTAAATATCTGATTTATGTTCAACATAGTTCTTATTTTTACCATTAGATTCCATCCAAGCAGTCAACAATATAACATTGCTTTACCTTCATCACTGTCCTCCATATTGTATAATTGTTCCGTGTTTAACATAATTCTTAATTTCACTGTTAGATTTGTCCCTAGCAGTCAACAATATAATAATGTTTTATCTTCACCGGTTTCGTCCATTCTACATATTTTATCCCAGCAGCCAACAATATATCTGTTCCTTACTTTATATCATTGCCTTCCTTTCTACATAATTGATTTATGCACAACACAGTTCCTACCTTCTCCGTTAGACTCCATCCTGGACGCAGTGTTCACAGTGTCACCAAATAAACAATACCGAGGCATTCTAAGGCCGACTACCCCCGCCACACAAGGACCTAATGAAACATGCAGAAAGCAGAAAATATTATAAACATGCTTTTAAATATTTTTTATTAAATATTATATTGTTTATTATAAATAAGAGCAGTATTATTAAATTTCACATGAATTTATAACACGTGAAAGTTATTGCTTTATAGGATTACTCTGTCAAGTTGTTAAATTTTTTTGTAAGGTAAACTAAGCTGTTTGTAAAATTACATTTATTCCGAATTTATTAATAAACTGTATAATACCCCAAATCACACATAATACGAAATATATTTTAATTCATGAACTTCTTAGAATAACTGTGTTAGGAAAACTAACCAAAATTCACAATGGATTGAAATGTTGAAATACCTTTAGAGATGATTATTATTTGCTTTTAGAACTGGTACTATCACATAAAAATTACTTGAAAAATATACACCATACTTTTATGCAGTAGTGATTATTTGGGATATTATATTATCAAATATCATACCCGAATGAATTCCGATTCGTAACTTCAACTTTCTCTCAGGCCGGTGTCGGATTTTAAAATTTCCTATTGCAACAAGCAAATCAAGGGACAAACGAGCTATTTCTCGCGCATGCTCATTACCATTTTTGACTGGCAAACCAGAAACCACCATGTAGGCATCACCGATAGTTTCCACCTTTGAAAACAAAACCTCTGATAATTAATGTCTAGCCTTAGTTCATGTGGTTTAGATATATATATATATATTTTGTATAAATTAAAATGCCAAAAATTGAACTAAAAAGGAGAAAATAAAATTATTAGACGAGAAAGGATTCTGTTAATCATAACAGTTACTGTAAAATAGCCACATTTCTTTGTTAATTATACACGTATAAATATATTTTTACAGTACACTTAGAAATAAATGCTTGGAGATATAAATAAAAAAAACACATAATCTTACAATAGTTAAATACATATTTTACATGGTATTGTATGTTTTTATTCAAGTAATGATTATTCGAATATCGGTATTTACTAATATTTCAGTCTTAAGTTTACACTATATTGCACGTTTGTTAAAATAAAGGTGTGCTACAAGCAACAAAAGTTACATAAAAGGAAAGACTGTCCAAAAACATTACCTTGTACACATCATAGTTCTCGATGGTGGAGTCAAAACAAGTGTAGAGGTCGTTTAAAAAATCAACAACCTGGACAAAAACAATGTAAGAATGTATTATAAAGCCATGAAGATCAACAACCTGGACAAAAACAATGTAAGAATGTATTATAAAGGCATGAAGATCAACAACCTGGACAAAAACAACGTAAGAATGTATACACCTGGAAAAAAGTTAAGCACCCCCAAATATTTTTCAGGATTGCTTAATGAAAATAAGGTTTAATTTTCATGATGTTGAGCAATGTTCATAATTTCAAACATAATTAAAAGGATGTGAGCGTTCAGGTGTGACATTTAAATCAG